ATATCATATTACTGTATGTATAATGATGACAGTCGGTGGTGGTGAAGAAGCGTATAGGTCACGAGCAAGAACTGGTAAGTTAAATGATGTGGTGGAAAAATAAATTTGGTACCAAATTTGTATAGCTTTGGACTATAAATTTACATTTATAGACTGTGAAATTCCTCCTCCAATCTGCAGATCTTTGAAGACTCATTTTACTACTCAAATTTAGTTCTTATGGGAATTTAAAGTTTCGAACTTCAATGAACGATTAACACGTAATTATCGTCGTGTACCATTTAATGTATCGAACATGTCTACTATATAAATTTTCATTGGCACGTACGTTTCATAACCCGTTCATCGAATTTACTATAAATTAATTTATTTTGACGTCAAATTGATGTCAGATTTCCCATCATTTAAATTATGCAAGTAATTAGAACACTTTTTGTGCATTTAACTCTCCAAGATAGAGAATTATGGGGGAAATTATTGAGACAGTTAACAAACAAACCACTTCAATTTATGGAGATAATACAAAAATTAATTAATTACAATCATTAACACAAATCAATTCTTTTCCACAATACAAGTCTTCCTTCATAATTACCATCACATTGTAACCCAAAAGTTAAAAGCTTTTCGACACAAAACAAGCTTGTCTATTAAAAAGTTCGTTTTTAACACGACTTTCGTTATTGTTCTAAAATAAAAAGTCTCGTGATCAAGAATTACCTGTTTAGATGGCATGTCAAAGAAAAGGACGAGGCTTCTAGTGACCAATAAGATAATGTGTGACGAAGAAATTGGAATATGAATTTTATTGAGAGCATGTTTGGGAGTGATTAAAATCCAATTAAAATTAAAAATATAGTAGCTATTGAGTCACACTCGTCTATTAAAAGTCAACAATAACGGTTAGTTTTTCAATTTTAATCTGATTTTAATCTCTACAGAACACGTCCTGAATATGTTTAGTTACATATTCTAAAAGTTAAAAAAAAATAAAAAATTGTAGTGAAATATTCATGAATCAAGTGTGACCGTGCGCAATGGGGTCCCAATTTTTTCATTAGTAATGAACAAGAAATGGTAGGGACAAGGAACATAGTAGGGAATGTTAGGGCCACCTTACCCTATTTAGACAGATAGGTTTAGCTTTTGGCTTCAGACTGTCTGTGATTCACCACTGAGAAAAATCAAAAAAACTAAGAATAATTTATTGTCCCTTTTTGTTCTCTTATGGCCTCTAAGACAGACTTGTTGTTTGATGATTGGTCCATGGCATGACATCGACCATTAACCCCAAAAAACAATTAAATGAATTAATAAATCGTATAATTCGTTTAGAAATGAATTAGTTTGAGTATATTAAATAGTTTAAGTTTTTGATAAAAATATTATGTATATATTTCACTCAAGTTTTTACTACCCATTTTTTAGAAATTGCATATAAGTTCAATCTTTGATTTGAAAAAGAATTGATTTTGCCATGTGTGAAGGAGAACGTAAAATTTTAAACTTTAAATGAGCTTATTCAATCCTCTTTAGCCCCATTTGTCAAGAGAAATTTTTTATGGGTCCCACCCCATGTGAGAGATGGACACCCTTATATACAAAAATTATGTACACCAAGTAATGTCCATAGAAAAATTCAACAAGAAAATAGTTTAAACTTGAACTTCAACTTACGAACAAAATTTGATATTTTCTTTTCTTATAACTATAAACTAGGCAATATTTATTTGTTAATCAAACAATTCTTGTCTCAATATCTAGCATTTGAGTTGAATGAAAAGTGACCATGAAACAGATCGAATAGATGGCAGTTGCCCACACGCTGCTCTCTCTCTCTCTCTCTCTCTCTCTCTNAACACTCTAAAAAGTGGAAAATGGCAAAAAGTTTTCCATCTTCCATGGAAAACTTGCCCTATCAAACAAGGCCTAAATGAAGTAAACCCCTGTTTGAACTACATTAAAATTTACATTATTATTCTTTTACTCATTTTCAACCACACATTCTTCAATAAAATATTATTTTTCATCACATCAATAACGTTTCCTTCTTTTTCAACCACACATTCTCCATCAATCTACTATTCCAAAATACATTTTTCCAAAATAATGTGGTTCAAACACACCATAAATAAGCTTAGTCAATCATCTTTAGCCCCATTTGTCAAGAGAAAATTTTTGTGGGTCCCACCCCATGTAAGGGAATAGACACCCTTATGTACAAAAATTATGTACACTAAGCAATGTCCATTGAAAAATTCAACAAGAAAATGGTTTAAACTTGAACTTCAATTAACGAACAAAATTTGATATTTTCTTTGGCAATATTTATTTGTTAATCAAACAATTCTTGTCTCAATATCTAGCATTTGAGTTGAATGAAAAGTGACCATGAAACAGATCGAATAGATGGCAGTTGCCCACACGCTGCTCTCTCTCTCTCAATTTTTCTCTTTCTCTCTCTATATCTATGTATGTATCTATCTGCGTGCCTATGCGTCACCTTTTTTCGCGCCCAAAAACTTGCCCAACAATTCATCCCACTGTTGATAGCGAGAGGCAATCAAAATAATCTGAGCTAGCTACATGATCTTTCATCATTAGGGTTTTTCTCTCTCTACTTTTGCTTTCTTTCTAAATTTCTCTCTTCATTTGGTTGTCTTTATATAATCCCATTTGTTCTCCATTCTTCCATTATTCAGTTTGCCAATCGGGGTTTTCTTTCCTCTCCTTAACGGGATCCGATCTAACTGCAGACAAGAAGAAAACATTAATCCTAGCACTTCTTGCTTTTGAGTACAAGAACTGCTAGGGTTCGAGTCCCGAGAAATATATATTGTTCTTTCTATAATTGTATTTGTCTTTTAGCTGTCTGAATCTGGTCTTCCTCTAGTTTTGGAGCATTATTGGAAGATGTATTCATCTCTCTCTCCATTCTCGAAGAAAAAAGTTCTTTCTTGCTGAGACAATTTGGTTTGCCAGGAAATTTTTTAAGGCTTCTTCATCTGAGGTTCTCTCTCTCTCTCTGATATATATACATACACATATATAAATATGAACTCCAATAAAGGGTGATTCAATTGAATTAGGACGTTCAATTTCTGCATCTTGATTGTTATAAGATGGAAGCTGATTCTTTGCATCAGAAGCATGTTTTAGCAGATCTTGACCTCAAGAACAAATCTCTATATGGAGACACACACATACCCATATATGAGTGTATGCGTGTGTGTTCTTCGTGTGCTTCTACCATTGTAAGCTAATAAACCACATTTGTTCTTTAATGAGACCTAATCATCCACAATGAGTGGAGCTGTGATCATTTGTATTTTTATGTGATATAACAATCTCTCTTAATATAATGCTATTAATTAACATATATAATCACATATTTGCTTTTGAGCCATTCAATGAAAAAAATTTGCTTCATGCTAACTAATATTAATAAATCTTATATATTTCAACAAGTCACAAATCTTAAATATTCGTAGTCACATCCCTAAAAAAATTTATGTTTGGAAGTTATTTATATTTAACCATATGAAAACAGAAAAATGTCTGCAGAAAATTCCTTTCATTTCGTTTAATGAAATTTGAAATTTTATGACCTGCAGATGATCAACAAAAAACCTAAGATCGTGTTAGTTAGTACAATGAATGTTTTTCAAAACGGCGTGGTGTAAAAAGCAAAAACGTGTTACCATTTTTAGGATATTCCAAGTCAAGTGGTTTCCTATATTTATATTACAGTACTCGATTACTTTGTCCCTTCATGTTTTTTACATAGATATATATGTGAAAACATATAAAGGAGATACCATCCTTCTGAAATTGCATTTTTCTTTTCGTTTTACAATAAAATTTAAACCAAATTTCCTTGATCCTTAAATCTTTGATGTCCACCAATAGTAGTTGTTTCTAACAACTTATTTGGTATTTCCTGTACAGCTATAAATGATGAATAATTGGGTAAAGAATCCTGTATGTGTGTGTTTTATTCATAGTAACTTTTCATTTTTTTTTTATAAATATCTTATTTCACTTAATTTATACGATTGCTTATTATCTTTAAAAAACTGAGTCTGTATGTATAATTAACTATTGCTGATTATACATTGCAGGTTTCAGATTTGACTCAGGATACTATGAATTCTTTTTCACAAGTACCTCCAGGGTTTCGATTCCACCCAACTGATGAAGAACTTGTTGATTATTACCTTAGGAGAAAGGTTACTTCAAGACTAGACTTCGACGTTATTAAAGATGTTGATCTGTACAAAATCGAGCCTTGGGATCTTCAAGGTAGGTTGAAGACAGAATATAAGTAATTCTTTAACTTAAACTTTTACATAAATAAAAATGTCTTTGCTTTAAAAGAGAATTTTTAGATGATGTGATTCGATAACAAGCGCAGCAATTCATTTATATTTTTTCTTTAATAGAGCTATGTAGAAGAGGAACAGAAGAGCAAAATGACTGGTACTTCTTTAGCCACAAAGACAAGAAATATCCAACTGGAACTCGCACAAATAGGGCAACAGCAGCAGGATTTTGGAAAGCAACAGGTAGGGACAAGGCCATTTACTCAAAGCATGATCTAATTGGGATGAGGAAGACCTTGGTGTTTTATAAAGGAAGAGCGCCAAATGGTCAAAAATCAGATTATATTATGCATGAATATCGCCTTGAAACAGATGAAAATGGGACTCCACAGGCAAGTATATACATTTATTTTCCTGTATATGTATAACATTATAAAGGTTTTAGGGTGAAATAAATTTATCTCCTTCAACTTAGTATTAGAGTAGGCAAAGGCCTTAGATTTAAGTAGTCATAGGGCCTACTCATTTATGATAATTGTGCACGTATCAAACTTTCGACAAAAATTAAATCGTACATGCGTGAAAGGGCTTGTGTGAAAGACTAAAGTATATGTACTAACGACTTGAATTTATAGTGTTGTTCAACAAACAGTAGCACTACCAATCTGCAATCTTCTTAATCTCAGCATGGAAAAGATTTCTTAATCTATGCATGCATTACCAGATATCAACATTAGCACATCCAACTTAGCTTCTTTTTGAGTTATAAACGTGTTTGATTGATAATATATATTAACAAGTATTCGGAAAAAAGAAAAAGATTGAAGTGAAAGTATATTTTGAATTTTACACAGGAAGAAGGTTGGGCTATCTGCAGAGTGTTCAAGAAGAAGATTGCCAGCATGCATAAAGTCAGTGAGCATGGCTCCCCAATTTGGTATGACGATCAAGTTTCATTCATGCCGGAAATTGACTCGCCGAAACAGCAGAATCTGGATTACCACTATCCTTATAATTCCTGCAAGAAGGAGCTTGATTTACAGTATCAAATGCCACCTGATCAGCACTTTCTTCATCAGCTTCCACATCTCGAGAGCCCGAGAATGGTGCAGCCACCGACCAGCATGAGTTGGAGCTCAATTTCTGCCTATGGCGGCCTTCACATAAACAATTCATCACACACTTTTCAGTCTTCAATCCAAAGCCATGATCAGCACAACTTTCACTCGGTTTACAGAAACAATACTAATGAACAGCCTGCAGGAGATCAAGTGACCGATTGGCGCGTACTTGACAAGTTTGTCGCATCCCAACTCAGCCACGAAGAGTTTGTTTCTAAGGAAAATGACTATTCCAATGCAGCAGATGCCGCCTTCCATGGAGGCACAGATGAATCCAATATGATGGTGATCACACAATTGAACATGCAAGAAACAGCGCCAGAAAATAATGCCTCGACCTCGTCCTCCAGTTGTCAAGTTGATCTGTGGAAGTGAATACAATAAAACCAATATGCAACCAGTATGTATATACTGATCATATAAGCATATAGATGTTGAGGGTAAACATCATTAATTTGTCCAGTTTCTTGTAAATAATAAAGCTAAAATTATACTATAATCTAACTATTGAACCATGGACTACCCACCTAGGATTAAGTTAAAGGAATGTTTGGTAAGAGGACTAGATAGAAGAGCGGACAAGATTTTAGCTTCTTTATTTTTTTTTAGTCCCGTCCGCTTCTATCCACTACAACACACCAAACGTGCCATACAAGTATAAAGAATGTAGCCAAGATGTTATTCTTGTAAGATAAAGGCTATAATTTGCTGCAATTGTTGGAATTGCAGCATTGCCAATATGTTATGATCTTATAACCACAGATTCTTTGTGTTGCCCATTGCCCATCCGTGGATATTTGAAGTTTTGTTCCAGTGTTTGTACTGATATATAGTTCGAAAATTATAATATAAAAATATCCATTTTGTTTGTAAAAACAATCTAGAATTGCCTTTATAATCATGATTTCCTATGTTGCACATATAAAAAAAAATGCATTTTTAGATTCAATAATCTCCCAGTTTCTTCATTTCTTCTGAGATGGATTTCCAGTGTTTTTTTTTTTCTTATTTTATCATTATTATTTTCTTTGAACTATTATGGGGTATTGGGGTTGCTACACTCTTGAAGCTATTTTGGGAAAAAAAATGTTAGGCTCTTTTCAGTTTTTTACATGAATAACTTTGATACTAATACCCTCTGTTAAATACATGTACTTCAGATTCAAGAAAACTGTATGGCATGTTCTGTTGGGGACTAGACAGGATTGGGTTGTGGTTGTTCGGTCCAATGTTCTCTAGTCGGATCATAAGAAGTCGATGCTGCCGAGATTTGAGCAAAAAGCTGTATTTCTTTTAACATTCTAATAAAAAAACAGTTTTAACTTCTTGAATACATTTCATGTAACTTAAAATGGCCAGTAGTGTTTGAAGTATGAGGAGCTCTATTAAATTGTGATATCAATTAGTTCAAATTCTAACTTATATCGACAAATGAATTGACTACATTTATGCAAGTAACCGCTTGATTAGCCATTAATTACCTAATAGGGATGCATCATATTGCTCGAGTAGGGATGAAAGTTGACCGCAGTAATCATTCTGCATAGAAACTTTTACCGACCTTTATGATTTTGGAGGGTATTCTTTCGCTTTGCGGTTACATACCACCAAAATAACGTCACTTTGAAGGTTGGCGTGGTAGTTAGCACAGTGGGTTCCAAAATCTTTTCAAAAAAGATTTTCTTCTTTACATAGAAGTTAAGTTTGTAATAATTCCTAAGAAAAAATTAGCCAATGTTTGGTGGCCATTTTTTTTAAAAAAAACATTGTTTTAAATAGCTAAATTTTGGAGAATGTGTGGTTAAAAAATAGGAAAAACTCTGAGTTTACATGTAGAATATTTTCATTTTGTGAATGTATGGTTGAAAATGAGTACATATAAAAAAGAGTTTTGAAAGAATGAGAGACAAACGGGGCTTAAAATGAGGATGAATATGGTACTGTACTGAGAAAGACTTCATAGTAAATGGGAAAAGAAGAATAAACGACCATGGCACATTGTTTTTAATTTTCTCCTCAAACCAACAGGAAAACTCGGTAAAGCAGCGAACGATGTAAGTAAATTTAATAAGGTTCCAGCAAATAACTTTTTAGATTTATCAATTTAGGAAATAAGTTACAGTAAAAAAAACTCTTTTTTGCTATAACTAAGAATAAACAAACATTCCCAATTATGTATGGAAACAAATGCTGGCTTAGAAATAAGTTTAACTTACTTTCGAGTTTAGGCAAACATGCTCAGCTTTAACCAGGTACCTTAATTCAGATGGATTAGACAGTTATGCATGGTATTAAAGAACAAAAATAATTCATAATTAACATAATGCAGAATGCATGCTTTCACTTATAAATTCACTTCTTTGAAAAATATATACCTTCAAGTAATTTTGTACCTCAAAAATAAGGGAATTCAGAAATCATAAGTTAATTACTCAGAGGACTTTTAAGTAGCAAAATACACCTGTATTTGCTCAAAGACGCCAAATCAATACTCAACCTTTGATCTATGAGAACTGGCCACTTGATGTTGGATAGATGAAATTGTTGTTGAACTTGAAAGCAACCAAGAGAATGTAGTGGAAACAAATTTGGATTTGTGACACTATTTCAGAGAAGTCATTTAGCTTCAGTATGAACTTTGCAAACAAAAGAAACACATTCATATATATGTCGTGTTTGTGTGTGTGTGTGTAGAGAGAGAGAGAGAGAGAGTGAGAGAGTGAGCGGAGTAGGGTTTTTGTCAGTGGTGGAGAGAATGGAGTAGGGTTTTTGTCAGTGGAGGAGACAAGCCCGACAGTACCTTTCAAGGAAAAAAGGATTATCCAAATCCACATGCTGATTGTGGGAATGTTCCCAACTCATTGACCTCAATCTTCGGAAAACAGAGAGAGTAGAATCCTAAAAGGAAAAAGCTGTTGAAGTCAATGCATCTGTGGGGTTACATCCCAAGCACTTTGAGAGAAATAATAATTGTAGCATGGTTTTAGGAATATAATGTTGTGTGTAAAGGAAGTTAACATCATTAACAGCATGAAATTCTTCATGTGACTATAATCATGTTCCAAGAACACTCCTGTTTGGCTTGTTTTTATTTTATGGCCTATTCAAAGCATTCTGACCCTTGTTGTGCCTATATTGCTGCATTTGATGCCATGGACTGCCCTCGTAGCAGCATTGCGATGTCATGCCTGTCTACATTAATTGACTCCCCGGGGAGCCTACGTTGGTGAACCCGAATGTAGGCAATGTAGCAAAGATGTAAGCCGCCCACAGCACCCTAATGGCGACTTAGGTAGTCGCGGTATTCTAAATGACAACATAAGTAATCACGATATCCAAATGCAATAAGATGCTTATATCAAATTGTATAGAATTAAAGAAACTATAAATTTAGATAATTTTTTATTGTGAATCCAATTTTTTTCTTGAAACAAAGAAGGACTATTTGCTTGATTACTTACTAGTCAGCCTGCCACTAGGGAGACAACAAATTCTTTAGTTACTAATTTATGTCCCTCTCTTAGCCGACAAATGGACTCTATAATTTGGATTATGGTTGTACAAGGCCATATTCCAAATTATAATGGAGCAGGCCCCCACCTATCCCAATTCTTCATACTGATCCCCTTAGTCAACATAATAACAGGATTTGTTATTGGGAAATTATTAAAAATTCAGTTGTTTAAAGATTACTTTCTAAAAATCAGGTTTTAACTTTAGTTAATCAAAAATCAGTTTTTTATCATTTTAAATAATAATGATATTATAAAATTAAAATAAACTATATACTAAAAATCAAGTTTTAAAATTATTAATAAAAAATCAGGTTTTTATCATTTTAAATAATAATGAAATTATAAAATTAAAATAAACTATATACCCACTCTACTACCTACCCCCACCAAATTTATTTTAAATAAGAACCCTAAATCAAGCAGTAACGTCGCGACGCTGCTGTGGGTGGTGGCGTTTCTTTTGGTTGTGATTTTGGTTTTTTATTTTGCTCGGCGTTTCTTCTGGTAGGCGGGGTGATTTGTGGGTTGTTGTGGTTGTATTGGGTGGGGGAAGAAGTGGAGTTACAGTTGGTGGCGATTTTGGGTTTGGGTGTGACCCGTGGTCGACGATTTGGGCGAGGGTGGGATTTGTGGTAGGTTGCGACTGCTTTAATTAGGATTTAGGGTTGGTGGCTGTTGCA